CAAAAATCATAATTTACTTTAGGGTTCACTCTTAGTATTGTACATTCTATGGATTTGGCCAAAAATGTATAATGACATATATTCACCAATATCATATCCTACTCAACAGTTTCACTGCTCTAAAAATCCTTTGTGTTCTGCCTCCTCCTTTCCTCCTCCAAACCCTGGCAACTATTGATCTACTGTCTCCATAGATCAGCCTGTTTCAAAATGTCATTCGTTATAGTTGAAATCATACTGTATATAACCTTTTAAAAACATTTATATTGGTGAATTATAATTATACATAATAGTGGAATTCATTATGTCATATTCATACATGCACATTTGGTCAATCTTATTCCCTAGTACCTTCTTCTTCAGTATATAGCCTTTTAAAATTGACTTCTTTAGGGCTGGGGAAGTAGCTCAGTGGTAAAGTGTAACTTGGCATGCACCAAGGCCCTGAGTTCAATCCCCAGCACTGCAAAAAAGGAAAAAGAAAAAAAATAATTCTTTAATTTAGCAATATACATTTGAGGTTCTTCCATGTTTTTTCAGGGGTTGATGCTCATTTTGTTTTTATACTGAAAAATATTTCATTGGATGTTCCAAATCTTATGCATTTACCTACTGAAGACCATCATATTTGTGTCCAAATTTTGGCAAATATGAATAAAACTATAATAAACATCTCTTTGTAGGTTTTTGGTTTGTTGTTTTCTTGAGACACAGTCTTGCTGTTGTTATGTTGTCCCGGCTGCCCCAGAACCTGTGATCCCTTGCCTCAACCTTCACTTGCTACAGCATCCAGCTGTGTACAAGTTTTGTTTTTTTTTTTATTACAACCCCCACTTCACCTGCATTGGGTATTGAGCCCAATGCCACTGAGCTGCATTCCCCAGCCATTTTTATTTTATTTTTACTTGTTAAATTTTTGGTCCTATGGATTGAACCCAGGGGTACTTTACCACTGAGCTATATTCCCCAGTCCTTCTAATTTTAAATTTCAAGATAGGGTCTTATTAAGTTGCTGAGGCTGGCTTTGAATTTGTGATCCTCCTGCCTCAGCCTTCCAAGCAACTGGATTACTGAGCCTGTGTGCATGTTTTTGTATGGATGTGTTTCCATCTCATTGGGTAAACAGCAAGGATTGTGTGGCAAGAGTGTGTTTAATTTTGTAAGAAACTGCCAAACTTGGGGCTGGGGTTATAGTTCAGTGGTAGAGTATACGCCTAGCATATGTAAGGCATTAGGTTTTATCCTTAGCACCACATAAAATAAATAAATGAAATAAAGTTAAAAAAAAACCCTGCCAAACTGTCTTGTAGTGAGCCTATACCATTTTGTATTCCCATCAGCAATGAGTGAGAGTTCTTGTTGCTGCACACCCTCACCAGCATTTGGTGTTGGTAAGGCTTTAGATATTTTGCCATTCTAATAGATGCATAGTGCTCTCATTATTTTAATTTGCAATTCCCTAATGACATATGAAGTAGAACATATCCATTCATGTGCTTATTTGCTGTCTGTATAGTTTCTTTATCCATTCAGCCATGTCCAGTCCCTGCCCGCCCCCCCCATACTGGGGACTGAACTCAAGCACTTAACCACTGAGGCATTTCCTGAGCCCTTTTTATTTTGAAACAGGGTGTCAATAAGTTGCTGAGGCTGGCCTCAAACTTGCAATCCTCCTGTCTCAGTCTTCCAAGTCACTGGGATTGCAGGTGTGTGGCATCTTTGGCCCATTTTTAAATTGCATTGTTTGTCTTCTTACTTTTGAGGTCTCCCCACCCCCACCCAGTACTAGGGATTGAACTCAGGGGCACTGAGTTCTTTGTGCATTTGGGATAACAGTGCTTTATCAGATATTTCTTTTGCAAATCTTTTCTCTCAATCTGTAACTTGCTTTCTTGTTCTCTTAAGATTTTTTAATTTTTAACTTTGTATTAATTTTTTCAGCAACTATAACTTTTGTATACATATATGTAAATATACATATATTTATACTTAGTTGTTGATGGACCTTTATTTTTTATTTATTTATATGCAGTGCTGAGAATCGAACCCAGTGCCTCACACATACTAGGCAAGCGTTCTACCACTGTGTTACCCCAGCTCTCAGCAACTATAACTATAAAAGAAATATTTTTATTGAGGTAGGTTTCACATAATTCACCCACTTAAAAGTGTGCAATTCAACTGTTTTCAGTATCTTAAAAGATTATTAACCATTACTACAGTCTAATTGTAGAACGTTATTTCTCCCCAAGAAAGACCATAAGCACAGTAGTCACACCCCATTCCCTTCCACTAACATTTCCAGCTCAAGGCAACCACTAATCTACCTCAGTCTCTGTAGATTTGCTTATTCTAGATATTTCATATACATTGAGTCATTGACAATATGTGGCCTTTGTAAGTGGCTTCTTTGACTAACAGGTTTTCAAGGTTAATCCATGTTGAGCATAAACTGTTCCTTCCTTTCTGTTTATTGCTGTGTAGTATTATCTGTCTATGCAAGATTTCATTTTTTCACTTCATCAGTTGAGGGACACTTGGGTTGTTTTCATTTTTTGACTATTAACGAATAATGCTACTAAAGAACATCCATGTGCAAATTTTTTTTTTTTTTTGTACTGGGAATTGAACTCAGCGGCACTTGACCACTGAGCCACATCCCCAGCCCTATTTTGTATCTAATTTAGAAACAGGGTCTCACTGAGTTGCTTAACACCTTACCATTGCTGAGGTTGGCTTTGAATTTGTGATCCTCCTGTCTCAGCCTCCCAAGCCACTGGGATTACAAGCGTGCACCACTATGCCAGGCTCATGTGCAAGTTTTTGTGTAGACCTGTTTTCATGTCTCTTGGGGGCAGACCTTGGAATGGAATTTCTTGGTCCAATTATAACTCTATATTTATCATTTTAAGGAACTGCCCATCTATTTTCCGAATTAACTGTACCAAGTTACATTTCTACCAACAATGTATATAAACTTGGCATTAAGTATAGACAGTTTTTAAAGAACCCTAACACTGTTTCAAATAGAACATAGTAGGTATTAAGTAAATATTTGTTGAATGGAAAATGGGTATTCTGTGAGTAAGGTGAGGCTAAATGTAGGAAGTCAGAGATGAGGTTGGAGATGGGTGAGTTCCTGAAAGTAACTTTCTCTCCAGAACTAGCTGACCAGGCCCGTCTGAGCACTGTGTTCTTCCCAAATAGGATCAACCAGTCCCTTCTGAGCCTGAGATTGACCTGGAAGCTCTCATGGAACTATCCACAGAGGAGCAGAAGACTCAGTTGGAGGTAGGATGAGACTGGGCCCAGAGGTTGGGGGCCAAAAGCTGGTTTGAGATCAAGGTGGACCCAGGAACCCTGAGTCTGCTTCCTTGGGTTGAGTGGGGAGAACGACTTCAGAGGGGAGAATTATTATTGGGAGATTGAGTGGGACTCACAGGAATGTACTTTGGCTCATGGATCCACTCTCTGCTCTCTTCTACTCAGGCCATTCTCCAAAACTGCCCCCGCCCCACAGAGGTATGGGATATTCTGCTGGTCTAGGGGCAAGAGGGGGATGGGGATGAAGGGTGGTTGTGGGGAGGTCACTAATGAAGAGGAATGTTTGAAAGGAAAGCTTGGTCCTGCATCCTTCTTTCCTTCCCTGGCTAAGGGAAGCTAGGATCACAGTCAGGGAGAGATTGGGGAGAGCAGTGTGGTGCGTGGGTGTGATTTCATGCCTTAATCTTACTCTTCTTTCTCCTTCAGCCTTTTATCTCTGAGCTTCTCAGTCAACTCAAGAAACTCCGAAGACTCAGCCGGCCTCAGAAATAAACCTGGAGAGACTACCTTAGCAGCCTCAGTACCCTGGACCCTGGCTGAAAGGAATACAGTTCCTTGAGACACAGACAAGGAATATAAAGGACAGGGAGGGACATTGGTACACCCTAGTATATGTGCAGTCGCAGCTAGGCTGTCTGGGAGCCACTCATTGCTGTTGTCCAGTGCTTTCCATGTCAGCCAAGTGGATAAAATCTTTAGCAGCCCCAGCTAAATGGAGTGTGGAGCATATTTGTGCAGAGGGACCAGGGGAAGGAAAGGGTGAAGCGATTCATTCAAAGACCAATATCCTAAGTCACTAGGCTGTACCTACATACCTGATCCATCCATCCATCCTCCAAATGGGTCTTAAAAACTCAAAGAAAGTCAACAGCTTTGCTTTGGTGAAATCACAATCTAATAAAGCCTGGAGGCCAAGCTGAGGGCAGATGGCTAAGACACATAGTGTCCTGGCATTACAAGGGAGCTCAAATGTCAAAGATTAATTTTGAATCTAGAGAGGAGGTAACAGGAAAACTTAGCTGGATCTGGGGGTATCAGAGAAAGCTCACCCCTCTTCTACCCACAGCTGATGGGGGAGGCTCAGGTGAGGGTCTTTTTCTTGAGTTGATTCTAGTTGTGGTCAGGAAGAGAAAAAGTAGAGGCTATGCAGAACATAAAGAACATAGGTTGAGAGGCCAGGGGCAGCTCAGGAGAAGTCATTAGAAAACAGATACTGGGTCTGAATGGCAGGCAGGTTGGGACAGGAGCCCTGGGAGGTGGGGTCCTTTGTAAGTAAGGCAGGTATGTATGCATTGTTCCTCCATGCACTGTTTGATTACTAAGAGAGACTGAGAAATTCAAATCAGAGGGGCCTGGAAATTCTGCCTAGAGCAGGAAACACAGTTTGGTTGAATGAATTTTCATGCTTTCTTCATGAGGCCACCAGGATAGGTGGGACTGTTCCTGCTGGAAGAAGATTACAGAATAGCTCATTTTTTTTCTTTCCTTCCACAGAACTGTTCTTATAGTCTGCTCTGCTCTTGCCATCTCTCACAGGGCCTGGGCTCGGGGTCAACTAGGTTCTAGAGATAAGAGATGCTGAGGGTGGGGTAGCTCAGTGGCAGAGCATGTATTTAGCATGGGCAAAGACTAGGTTCAATCCTCAGCATTGCTAGAAAGAGAGAGATATGGGTAGATGCTGAGCCCAATGAATACATATACTTTATTAGATCTACTATGTGCCAGGTAGGGGAACGGGCCCTGGAGCCAGGCTACAGGACTCACCCTTAGATTCAGTTTGGTCTTTCTAGAACATCATGCCTCTTACTTCTAGTCCAGGCTTCTTGGAGGAGGGACCCTACTTTTTCCCTTTGGCTTTTCCACTCATTGTTTCAAATGGAATCTTTCCTCTTTCCAGGGGACACTGAGGCTCAGGAAGGGGTGTATCCATCATCAGTAGACTTGATCTGCTGTCTCATTGATGCCCTCAGGGCATCACTGCCAGCCTGCAGGATGTCTATAGGACCACCTTTCCAGGAGGGTCGGGGTTTCCTCAGTACTGTCCGCCAGTATATTGGGGATGGTAGGCTGATGTCTGGTGTTCTTTAAGCTCAAAGGCATCATGGCCCTCCCTGTGGAGCAAAGGGATGCAGATCAGGGATTGTAGGCAACTCTCGAGCCTTTCCACAGAACATTCTACCTGTACCCACCGGAAGCACCGAGCACAGTAGAGGTCTCCATCACAGCCAGCACATCGCAGGGTGGCATCCTCATTGCAGATGCAGCACCAGGGAAGTTCTTCTTCCTTAGCCTCTGGCCTGGGAGCCATGACTTGGGCCTTCAGGGACCAGAGAGGAATACAGGAAGTAAGATACATGATAGGAGCAATCAGCCAGGTAGGAAGGAAGGCTATGGGCTTTTCTCACCTTAGGCTCTGTTCTGCAGGGTGGGGCCTGGGGTCTGGAAGCTGGCTCCACAGGGATGTTAAAGCCACTTGCCTCATCCAAGGCAGCTTCTTCAGTGAGCTGTGAACAGGTGAAAGGGTACTACTCCCTGCTCCAGGCCCTTCTCCCAGTATTTCTGTGCTGTAGCCTTGGCTTCTCTTCTTCCTTTACTTCTTGCCTATGGCTGCTGATTCCCCATCTCAGGGGGCCAAGGGGCAAATCTGGGTCACAGGGACACAAGGACCCCAACTTGAACAGGAGCTGCAGAATGGCTACCCCAGAATGGAGGCCAGGTGAATGGGGCCAAGCAGCTATGAGGCAGAAACAGGACAGGGGTGGCTGGATGGGTAAGCCAGGCCTACCTGCTGCATGACTCTCTGGATGGCTGTCTCCTCATCCTCCTCATCATCACTGTCTGGGAGGCGGAGGTCCTGAAGGGTCACTTGAATGAGGGAGAGATGGAAATGGGAGGAAGAGTGAGGGTGAGAGATTTCACCTAAACTACTGTCCTCTTCTGGAAATGGTTTGTTTCCCAGGGTTTGTTCCAGAGCTGAGGAGCCTCATTAGCCACCCCTGTTCAGAACTTGTCCCTCCCTGTCCCAACCCTACAAGGCTGGACCATTAATGAAGTAGCCTTAAGGAGCAGGGCAGGAAAAGAAGCCTCAGCACCTGAAAGGACTGAAGGTCCCCCTACCTGATGGCTGCCACTGATTCCTCATCTACTGCTTTGCCCCAGTTCATTCCTCATGGCTCTGGGCAAGGCTCAATAGATCTCTGGGCATAGGGACCTCTAGCACCTGACTTAGCCCTGGGAAGGAGAGCTTGGCCTGAGTGCAGGGGAAGGCTGTGATCAACAGACACTAGTGAGCAGCTGACTCCAGCCTTTACCTTTGTCAGGGTCCTGTCCCCGCAGCACAGCCAGTCGCTTGGCAAGGGCCAGGATCCGTTCCTGCCTTGTATTCTCCTCCCGTAGCTCAACTGCTGCCTCAGCCAGCAGCCTGGTCTTCTCCTTCTCCAGGGACCAACTGGCCTGCCCCTGGGAATTAGTGTGCTGGCTTCCTGTGCCACCCTGGTTGAGGTCATTCTGGAGAGAGGCAGCTGGAAGAAGTAATGCAGTCAGGGAAGAAGAGGCATTCTAAGATTTCTCCCCCATAAGTCACTGAGCCCATTTCTCAACTTTTTTAAAACTATACATTATCAGCTTTGTGCTCAGCCCTAGCACATGTGACTTATATTACAAATAAGATTAGTATTTCCTCCGATTTTTCAAATGTTAAAAATTAGCAATTTTGGACATATTTTTTCAACCACATCCATCCCCACCCCACTGATATGTATGGGCTGGATGTCCCATGGTTTCAGAATCACTGCCCTAAAGGATTAGGATATGAGGAGGCTAAAGTTCAGCCAGTTTCTGCCATTCAGGGCTGGAATTAGACTTCCCTGGGAGCAGCACAAAGAAGGCATGACTGAAGCTGAGATTTTATATATCACTGGGTAGGAAGAACTTTACCAGAGTGGGTGTGGCTCTGACATGATCACCTTTAGCCTAGAGTTTCAGAGCAAGAGGTTTGAAACCAGACAGCTTTGGGTACAAGGCCCATCCCTGCCACTTAAGAACTATGTGGCCTTGGTCAAGTTCCTTAAGCTCACCATGCCTGAGTTTCCTCATTTATATATGGGCAATAATAGTACATACCTCAAAATTATTGAGGTTGGTCCATGAAATTGTGTCTGTAAGCAAGGTTTCTCAGTCTTAGTTCTATTGACACATTGGACCAGATAATTCTTTGTTGTGGTGGAGAGGCTAACCTATGCATTGCAGGATGTGGCTTATGGCATCCTGGGCTTCTACCCACCAGATGCCAATAATATCCCCCAAGTTGTGATAACCAAAAAGTCTTTAGACATTTTCAAAAGTACCCTGGAGGGTAAAATCATCCACGGTTGAGAACTACTTCTCTGAAGCTTTCAGAAAACACTGTCCAAAAGAATTTTCTATGATGAAGGAAACAGTGTATATTATGTCCCTTATCTATCCCATAAGGTAGTAGCCATGAACTCATGTGAGTATTGAACACTTGAAATACGGCTGGTAACACTAAGCAAATGAACTTTAAATTATATTTAATTTTGAATAGCCTCTTCTTTTATATCATCATCATTATAGAGAACACTCACTACACTCAATGAACACTTATATTATGAGCCAGGTATGGTCCCAAGAACTATTGGATTATCTCATTTGCTCCTCATGACTTCCCTGTGAGGTAGGTTTTTACCATATACACCTCCATTTTACATATGATGAGAGTGAGATTTAGGTCAAATAACTTGCCCAAGATCACACAATTAGTATGTGGTAGAAATGGGGATCACTGTCTGATTCTAAAGCCCATGCACTTAAACACTAGGCCTACATTAGCTCCCTTTGGAGTAAATACTCAATAAATGATAGTTCTTATGATGTTGGTCATTCTTTACTTTATATTCATCTCCAGAGGGTGGATAGCAGAGCCTCTCCCATTTGGGGGAAGAGATGGGGCATGTTCCTGGAGGAGCTAAGTAGAGGGGTTACCTGGACCTTCTTGTTCCCAGCTCTCATCAATAGCCACCTCAGCTGCCAGCTGTGTTAGCAGATCTTGTGTCTGCTGATCCTGTGTCCTGGTGTCTGCTGTCAGATGTTCCTGCCCAGAGGAGGGAACCTCAGTGGGGAGTGGGAGTAAGGTAAAAGCCACATAAAGCCTAGAAGTATCCTGGGTCAGGGGTGGATGCTGAGGAGTTCTCAAAGACCAGGCAAAGGTTTGTCTTAATCAAGTAGGTCTGGCAGTCCCCAACAGGACTGTGTCCACTTTTTTCTGACCCACTCAATCTTGCTGCTTGTCCCTTGTTCCTTGGCCTGGCAGCAGGCCTGAGGCTCAGGAGGTAGGGGTGGGAGGCTTTACCAATTCCTGTAAAGCATATGATCATACATGTATCTGAGCTTCTTCTGGATCCTTTCCCTAGGAATCCCTTCCCTCCCAAGCCTTAGCACTCACCAGCCTATGGGTGTGAGAAGGCAGAACCCTGCCCTGAAGGGCAGCAAGCCGAGTCTCCATCTCCTGGACAGAAGGGATAGAACCCTGGGTTTCATCCTTCAGTGCAGCCAGCCGTGCCTCTATCTCTGCCTGTGAGGGTATTGACTCTGCAATTGGCATAGGGGGAGCCAGGTAAGGGCCAGAGGAACCTCAATCTCAGAATCTCTAGACTGTCCTTTTGGCTACCCCGCCTGCCTCCACTCACTTGGCTTGTTCTCCTGACGGAGTCGTGCTAGGCGCTCAGCAATGACTTGGTCTTGTTGGGTCAGTGCCTGGCTCCTGGAGGTGCTGGGCTTTTGCTTGGTTTCCAAGGCTGCCACACGTCTAGCACGATAAGAGATAGAGGTGCTTGAAGGCAGAAGTGAGGACTGAAGGCACCCATTCACTGTTTCCCATTCAAATTATTTCTAGGCATCTAGGGAGTCCTGCAGTAGGAAATTTTCTATGGCTCTTGCTGCTGTCACCCTGCAGCCCAGCCCTGCTTACCAAATAGAGGGTCTGGTTGAGAGGGCAAGTTCTGCCAAGTGCTCGTACTGGGGAGATGGTGATAAGCTACTTTCTGAGTTAAAGAGGGTGTCCAGGGCTGGGCATGGCAGCACTAGCCAGGTGTGGTGGTGCATGCCTGTTATCCCAGCAGCTTGGGAACTGAGACTGGAGGATTGAGAGTTCAAAGCCAGCCTAAGCGACTTAGTGAGGTAGTTATAAACTCAGTGAGACCCTATTTCCAAATAAAATATAAAAAAAGGCCAAGGATATGGCTCAGTGGATTAAGCACCCCTGGTACCAAAAAAAAAAAAAATCTCCTGACCCTGAACTTACTTGAACTATAGACTAGGAGAAGAGTCCTACCTATGCTCCCTTGTCTTTTCCCTGTCCTCATTATTTTTTCCTTTAATACTTACTTTTTATAGTTCTGGGGTGGTGACCACTTGGAGACATTGGCAGGAGAACCTCTGTAGAGAAGAAATCTGGTATCAGAAGTCCTGCCATCCCAGTCAGTGTCCCCACCTCCACCCCAAACACTTCCTGGGCTGACCTCTGGCTATACAGCACAAGGTTGCAAGGGCTGTCCAGATGCTCACTGCTGTACTTGGTGAAGCCCTTATCCATACTGACTTCTTACCTGGTCAGGACCTCGTGGCACTGCTTGCAGACTTTCTGTTGGGTGTTACCAGTCCGAGGTACCACTGCACTGAAGCTGAGGCAGCCGGAACAGAAGGCCCGGCCACAATTCTTACAGCCATACTACAAGAAATATGAAGCAGGAGGATCCATCTGTTATCTACCCATATGGGCTCCTCCCTGGTACTCTTGAGTATTCAGAGAGAGGACAGAGAGGTTGTGACCAGATATTAGGAGGAGGAAAAGGATTGGGACAGAGGGTAAAGCAATTCCTTGGTTTCCAGTCCCTTATTCAAATCACATAAAGCTTCAAACAAAATTCCCATGCTTTCAACCACCTTCAACTGCGTGCCTGGGGAGGGGTGTAGAAGGCAAACCCTGTGTTTCAGGTCACTGACTCTTTAACAAAGGAGAATCAGACAGTGCAGGGCTCATGCCTTCTCTGCTCTGGAATAGATAGAGGGAGGTTTAGCTCAGGATGGGATGATAACAATGGCCTCCATTTATTAAGTACTTACTGTGTGCCAGGCACTAAGCTCAGTACTTAACAAAAATTACATGATTTGCCCAAACCAAGGTCACTCCATGATAAAACAGCAGAGCTCAAATTTGAACAGACTCAAAAATCCAGGATTCTAAAATGTCCTGCCTCCCTGTATGCCATTAAATTATCACATCTGGTTCAGGCACAGAAAAGCAGTATTTTACCATGATAACCTGGTAGGTCTGTGTTGAGGACAAGAGAGCCTTTGACATGGTGCCCTGGGACGATAGGGGAGTGTGATCATCTAACTCAAGAAACAAGGGTAATGGCAGGCTGCTGTATGGGGAAGGTTTCAAAGCAGAGAGAATAATGAGCAGGACAACTGTCCCAAGGTATTAAAACCGCGCGGGGGAGGAACGGAGTGGGAAGGCAACAGTTGGATGCTACACTTACGTTACAGAAAAGTGTAATTTCAAAAAATGACGTTAACAAGCTTTAGGGTGCTCTCACCTTCAGCACCTCACTGGAACCTCGCATCAACCCCGAAAGCGAGGGAGCGCTGGAAAGAACCCACAACACCGAATCTTTGGACCGTAAATCTCATGCTTTTCCCTTCGCTTCGCGCCCTCCCTAACCCTTTAGCCCTCTGGGAGAAGACTCGCCTCCTTCTTGAAGAGGGTGAACTTGACAGCACAACCATAGCACCTACTCTCCATCGCGGCTCCCGGCGGTGCAGAAAACGGAGGATTGAAGTCAAACCTTTCAGGACCAAGCCCCTAGGAAGTTCACCCACCCACGTCCTGCCCTACACGCCCACTTGCGCGATCCCGCCTCGGCCTTGAGTTGGGGGAATCCAGACTCACCGCCTGCGCCCGAGCGCGGCACAGGCGGGAGCGGGGGCTGCCGGGAGCCGTAGTTCATTTACGGCTGCGCGGTCCCTCAGAGTCAGTCAAGCCTGACCCGGAACACGACCATTCCCAGGGGGCTAAGCGCCACTAGGCCTGCTCGGAGCCTGCGGTCCCTGCACATGCTTGGGCTCTTGGGAATTGTAGTACGAGCACCGTCAAGGCTGGAACCATGGCGGTGACCAAGGAACTATTACATATGGACTTGTACGCATTGCTGGGCATTGAGGAGAAGGCGGCAGACAAAGAGGTGAGAATGGTGGCGAGGAAGGCTGATTCTGAGCGACCTGGCAGCCTTTACTGTCCTGGTTCCTTGGCTGGGACCGGCACCTTCTCTTCAGGTTCGACCAGGCCCTGGGCGGAGAAGGAAGGGAGGCCCGGCGGCCTCAGAATGTAGGCTCCCACACTTTCCTGAACAATTTGAGGGCCTCACAAGTAAGGGGAGTTCTGGGGGCTGTTTAGGAGAGCCCCTGTATGGGAGAGTCCTGGATGAAACTGTGAGCGAAGCCGGCCTCCTCTCTGCGCCTGCGCAGCCTCCGCCTTGGATTTGGCTTCCGTCTTGTGCCGTCTTTCATTTCAGTGTTACCATTCTCAGCAAGTGATAGTGGGCCCTAAGCAAGAGAATCGGAAGGGTAAGGCAAGTGGCCCAGATTTCCACCTACCTAGGTGTACATCAACGTGAGGGGTCGCAGGGAACGGGTTCGGTGATGCTCACCTATCTTCCCACCGACTCGGAAGGTCGAGGCAGGAAGATCGCAAGTTCGAGGCCAGCCTCAGCTATTTAGTGAGACCCTGTCTCAGAATAAAAAAAAAAAAAAGAGGCTGAATATGTAGCTCAGTGGTAAAGCACCCTTGGGTTCAACCCCCAGTACATTAAAAAGAAAAAAAAAAAACACAAAACGATGGTGGATGGTGAGACACTGATTAGTCTGGACAGTGGTTTCTGCTATTTCCCCTAGGATCACGGTGGTAGTTGTAATAATATAGATAGAAAAGGCTGATAATTCATGGGATGAATATTATGCCCACCAATGCCCCCTGTACTTCTGAGCTGCTCTGCTGAAGGTCTGAGTGAGCTTTCTAGAAGAGGGAGCTTCGGGGCAGAAAAATCGGGGAGACCCAGAAGGTTTTGAGAAGAGATGCTGTCAACTTATACAGAATTTCCCCTGCAGCTGAAATCAAAAGTGACCACAGGGGGCTGGGGATGTGGCTCAAGCAGTAGTGCGCTCGCCTGGCATGCTTGCAGCCCGGGTTCGATCCTCAGCACCACATACAAACAAAGATGTTGTGTCGGCTGAAAACTAAAAAATAAATATTAAAAAATTCTCTCTCTCTCTCTCTTAAAAAAAAAAAAAAAGTGACCACAGGGACATCTATAAAGCACCAAAAATATCTACTACAATATCTACTACATCTCTCTCATAAGTCTAATATTTCGGTATTCATAAGTCTAATATTTCGTGGTGTCGCAGGCCTGTAATCCTGAGGCAGGAGAATCGCAAGTGAGGCCCTGTCTTAAAATAAAAAAAATGTGGGGCTGGAATTGTGGCTCAGTGGTAGAGCGCTTGCGTAGCATGTGTGAGACACTGGGTTCGATTCTCAGCACGGCATATAAATAAACAAAATAAAGTCCATTGACAATTAAAAAAGAATTTAATTTTTTTAAAGGGTTGGGGATATGGCTCAGTGGTTAAGTGCCCCTGGGTTCAATCCCCAGTATCAATCAGTTAATCAATCAATCAATAAAAAAGAATAAAGATAAACCATGAAAAGTAAGTGGCACACCCTTAGAAAAGCCTTACCAATTATTTTCTTTCATAGCAGCCAGTTCTCCTTTCCAGTACATATTTCCCTTTGCACTTTGGATACATTAGCTAACTTCATGCTAATGGACATTTTTTGGTAGAAAGCAAGGGAGTCCTAGTCACTGGTGTTCCCTTCTCTTGGTTTAATACCCATCATGTTCTCTAGGGGAACTTGGGAGAACCAAAGGATATTTAAAATATATATATGAGGAAAGCTTCCTAAAGTTGGTTCTTTGACCAAAGGTGGAAGGTGTCCCTTCCACCCCTGCCCCAGTACTGGAGATTGAACCCAGGGACATTCTACCACTGAGCTATATTCCCAACCATTCTGTTTTATTACTTATAATTTAAATTTTATTCATGTTTTTGGTACTGTAGATTGAACCTGGGGATGATTTACCACTGAGTTACATCCCCAGCCCTTTTAATTTTTTTTTTTTTTTTTAATTTTGAGACCAGATCTTGTGAAGTTGCTTAGGGCCTTACTAAGTTATTGAGGCTGGCCTCGAACTTGCAGTCCTTCTGCTTCAGTCTCCTGAGTTGGCTGGGATTATAGGTGTGTGGCACTGGGCCCCGTTTTTTTTTAAATATTTATTTCTTAGTTTTCGGCGGACACAACATCTTTTTGTTTTGTACGTGGTGCTGAGGATCGAACCCGGGCCGCACGCATGCCAGCCGAGCGCGCTACCGCTTGAGCCACATCCCCAGCCCTTTTTTTTTTTTTTTTAAATTAATATTTTCAGTTGTAGATGGATACAATACCTTTATTTATTTATTTATTTTTAATGTGGTGCTGAGGATCAAACCCAGTGCCTCATACATGCTAGGCAAGCACTCTATCACTTAGTCACAACGCCAGCCCTCTTGCCCAGCTTTTTAAAAAAAATTCCATATGTAAGTGAGATAATGCAGTATTTTCTTTTCAGTGTCTGGCTTACATCACTTAGCATAATATCCATGTCATCTTAAGTGACAGAATTTCCTTCTAAGGTTGAATAATATTCCATTATGTGTACATATATATGTATATATTTTTAAAAATTTATTAGAGGGGCTGGGGTTGTGGCTCAGTGATAGAGCGCTTGCCTAGCATGTGTGAGACACTGGGTTCGATTCCTAGCACCACATACAAATAAATAAAAAAAAAATGTCCATCAAAAACTAAAAAAATATTTTAAAAAATTATTAGAGCTTTATAGTTATACATAGTAGTTGGGTTCATCCCAACCAACTTATATATGCGTAGAATTTGATTTCAGTTCATGATCCCCTACTTTTCCTCCTCTTTTCCCTCCCCTCCTTGTTTTCCTGCCTCTGTTAGACTTCCTTTCACTTGTCTATTTATTTATATTTGATTGGTTCTTTTTACTTATATAGAAAGGTGAAATTTTCTGTGGTATATTTATATATGCACATAATGTGTTTTTTTAAGAATTCATTCTGTTTTGTCTCCCCTTTCCCATCCTTCCACTCTGCTTCTTGATCTTCCCTTTATGATATTCTGCCCTTCTCTCTTAGCTTATTTCATTTAGTATATTATTCTCCTTTTCCATTCATTTACTGGCAAATGCCATAATTTCATTCCTCTTTATGGCTGCATAGAACTCCCGTGGGTGTGTGTGTGTGTATGTATATATACACACACACACAATTTCTTTATCCATTCATCTGTCAATGGACACTTTGGTTAGTTCTGTGTCTTCACTGTTGTTAGTAATGCTGCAATGAACAAGCTAGGAACCTGAATCATGAGCCATTCTTTTTTTTTTTTTTTTTTTTTGATACTGGGTATTGAACACAGGCATGCTTTACTGCCGATCCACATCCCAATCCTTTTTTATTTTTAATTTGAGACAGGGTCTTGCTGTATTGCTGAGAGCCTTGCTAAATTGCTGAGGCTGGCCTCAAACTTACAATCTTCCTTTCTCAGCCTCCTGAGTCCCTGGGATTACAGGCATGTGCCACTGCCCTGGCTGTGAGTCATTCTGTCTTTCTTTCCTTTTTAAATAGTCTATTTGACTTTTTTTTTTTTTTTTTTTAATTCTAATCTATTGGGCCTGTCAAGTCTATTCTCACAGAAAATGAAATGATCTTGGTACTCCCTTAAACCCCTAATATTCTTCTTCTTTTTTTTTCAGTACTGGGGATCCAGTACAGGGCCTTGCACATGCAAATGCTTTTCCACTGAATTACATCTCTAGCTTCCCTATTGTACTTTTTTTCTTTTCTAAATGGTGGGGAAGGGGAAACACACACACACACACACACACAGAGAAAAGAGGAAAGCGGGGGTGGAATGGGGTGGGGTCTGGAGGTCGATATGAAGTGAAGGGATTGGATGGCAGAGTCCCAGTTGTACTTTTAATAAAATAGAATTTCTTACCCTTTCATACATGTTTTTCCTTCTGCCAAGATTGTTCTTCCTGTCATGCATGCTTACTATGTGTATCCTTCAGAACTCAACTTAAAGGACACCTCAGAGAGGCTTTGCCTATTGCTAGCTTTCATAGCAGCTGGCTCGCCTCCTTTCCAGCATTTATATTACTTTGCATTCATGTATTGAGCTCTGTGATTATTTGCTTCATGCCTTACTCCCCTCTTTACTCCTACCTCTGTGGAGCAGATCTGATCCATTGACATCTGATCCATTTGCCTGACCTGCACATTCCCTACCATTTTCCCCTTTGCTCATTGTGTTCCAGGCATATTCTGTTTTTGATGTTGTTGTTTTTGTTGTTTGTTTGTACTGTGATTCAATTCAGGGGCCTTCTTGGCCTCCTTACTTGGTGAATGGCACATAAAGAGGTCTCAATAAATATTTATTGAGTGAATGAAGGATCAATTACAGACACCAATGCATTTACTTGACTGGAGACTCAGGAGGCCTAGGATAGTCACTGTCTCTCTCAGGGAGGAGTAGGGCAACCTATGGTTTGGGGTCAAAAGTTCCATGTAATGCCCATCCATTCAGAATATGTGTCAAAGAACATATCACTCTTAAAATTTTTACTCTCTGGCTCTTTATAGAACAATTTGCTCACTCTAGTTAAAGTTAGGGACAAGTTCAATTCTACCTTTCTGTATGCAGAGCTAGTCCTCTGCAGACCTTTTCCCCTCC